AAGAAGAAAGAGAGGTTACTTACCTGTAACCATAGTTCTTCAAGTGTTCCTCTGTGAATCCACACATCCCACCCATCCTCCCTGCTGTCCATCACTTAGTGTCTTGAGCTTTGTTTCGGTCAGAGCCTTGACAGCAACGGACATTTTCGGAAGTGAGATATTACGGACGGGTGGAGCATGCGCACCACAGGGCAACATCCTCCTAATCACATCTTTTAAAGCTCTAGAATATTCTGAGAAGTCCTGCGCAGGTGCAGTAAAACCCATCTGTGTGGATTCACAGAGGACCACTCGAAGAACAATGATTACAGGTAAGTAACCTCTCTTTTTGGCTTGGGAAGCCTTTGGCAACCTTGAGACAGGAAAGAGCCTGTAAAGAAAATCTTTGCTGTAGGTAAAGTGTTTTTGCCAATTCAACAAAAATGTAATGTGTAATGATCCTTCCTTCCCTGAGTCTGTAGGAGAGATGGGAGGGTCTAACAAGCTCTGCAGCTTGTATCTCCAGCTTGTATCTGGAAGCACAGGCATTGGCAAGCTGCTAGAAATGCAACCACACCCAAACTTAGTAAGTCCTACCCAATATCCGGTCTGCCCCCGTGGACCGTTCTGAATGGGATTATTCTCAGGGTATGTGTTTGTACTCAACACCTAGATCCCTTCAGTTGATATGAATGTCTGCAGCTGTTATTATTGCTTTGGAAGGTGTAGAAGGCAGTATTATGTACTTAATATATCTATTTGTGTATTATGTACTTAATATATTTATTTGTGAACCAAGCTGTTATTTTCAGAGAAAAATAAGAAGAATCAAATAACTGTAGAGTTGGAATGGTAAAGTCCAACTCTGCCAATACCGAAAAGAACAACAAAAATATCTTGTGTCCAATGCCCATCCAAGCTCTGCTTGAGCTCTTTTTCATCTACTAATACTGAATCTGATGTTGCTAGTTTAGAATCAAGAAAGAGACACTGAGAACTTTGAAAGAAATTAGAAATTATACATTGTTGGTTATGGTGTTTTCAGGTTCCAGTACTAAATGGATAATACGATCCATGATTTTTGAATGGAGAATAAAATCTGTGTAGTTTTACCTGCTTGTAGTTTCTGAGGTACCACAATCAACTCCTGTTGATTCTTCTTTTTAAATTTTTTAAATCATATTAATGTTTCATACACATTAATCTTCTACCTCTGGCAGCTGCGTTTTTCTAAAGCACATGGAAGCTCCTTTTGAGAAGAAATGGGTTACCCGATATTCTCATGGCAGTTTTATGAAATGATCCTGATAAATAAATATAGTGCAGATTTTAGCAATTACCCTTGGGATTTTCCTCCAACAGAACTGTTTGCTTCTTTTAGAGTGCAATTGAAAGACAAGATGTTTTATGTTTACAGAGCTTTCCCTTTGCCTTAGGAATCAGCTGTCTCTGCCTTAGCTGCTTTGTGTAATGAATATTACTGCACTGAAGGAGGAGAAGCAAATCCAGCTCAACAAGGTAATGATTCGCAAGGTTTGTCTTTGTTTTAATTGAGGGACACCTTTGATGGAGGATCTTGCAAACTAAAAAAATTCCAGCAGGAACTAAATCAACAACTTGTTGATTAGGAGTTTTCAGGACCAGCCCAGTTATGTAGGTTAATTGTTCTTATTTGGAGGCGACAGCAGTTACTATGGATTGTCCATTCTGGAGAAATGCCTTGGAGAAATAAAACACTTCTAATCCACACATGTATGGGACAGTGTTGTTTATAATGCCTCCAGTTAAATTACCACTCTCAATTGCCAGTTGAGATAAATGTAATTAAATAAGCACTTCTGAATCAGCTACCTTTACTGTTTTTTTTAACTGCACAGGGTGAAAATGTGCTTTTTAAATAACTATTGTTTTAAAATATTCTTACTAATATTTCACTAAAGTGGGGAAAATTCCAGTAAAATCATTGGAAGAAAGGAGAAAGATTGAGGGGGATACGTATAAAGTGAATATAAAGTGAGGCTGTACATACATGAACTAGCAAATATCAGCAAGTACAGCCTTTTGAGCTCTTAATATATAGCAGTGACTCTTCCCCCCTCCTCCACTGTCCCACAGAAACAAGAACCAGAAAGTGAATTAGAGCAGCGGGCTTGGTTACAGACAGATTGCAGATAGATATTTGTATCCCAATTACTGTACTTTCATTTGGAAAGAATTATAGTTGCTCCACTGACTAAGAAAAAGCCATGCCTCCCCTACAAATAAATATGCTTGGGTCTTGTATATAGCTAGGCATGATCATTTAGCTGCAGAGCTTCCTGTGCTGGGATATGACCATAGACTGAAGACAAAGCTTATTCTTTCAAGTTGCAGGCTTCACACATCACTCTCTTGTATTTAAGAATCATTTGTATGTATGGTTTCATGTGTTCTTTTATCTTCCCCACCTACCTTGTTGCTCCATTTGTAGAATCAATAAATTTAAATTTACATTGCAGACTTAATGCATTGTGTTATGTTGCTATCTGTACATTCACAAGGGTTCCTCCTCTGTTATTTTCCCATAATCATTGTTGATTTTTATCAAGATGTAGCCCCTAGTTATCCATCTGCTTCTTTTTAATTTAGTACCATTTTGCAACAAAATGTGAGTTGCAACATCTGAAGTCAGAGAAACTGTGATGATGTCCATCCTCTGGTAGAGAAACAAGAAGGAGGAGGAGCCAATGAAGTGTCTTAAAATTAAATAAAAATTAGCAGTGGTTCACATTAATATTTTGATTGTTACTGCAAAACATACTGTAAAGCAAAAGTAAAAGGTGACATAAATTGGCTCAGAATTCTGAATGCAGATTTTCTGTTCCTGTCATGTAAAAACAAAGAGAACTATTAAAATAACCAGTGCAAAGATTTGGAAGAGAATGCAAAAAAGAAAAAAAGAGAGATTTCTTCCATAAGATCCAAGGGAAATTTAAATCTAGATTAGAAATGCTGAAAGACCAACAATGAAACACACTATCTAAACAGGAGAAAATAAAGAGAAGGTTAAAGCAGCATACTGAAGACTTACACATAAGAGATAAAAGGATGAGATTTATGTGAAGAAGAATCCTATTAATGAAGATCCTGCTTTTCTAGAAAAGTGAAGTAAAAGCTGCTCCAAAAGCACTGGTAAGAAATAAATCTGCAGGGGTTGATGGAATACTGATAGAATTATATCATGCTATAGAAACTGAAACTTTAAAAATCCTAACAAGAATATGCCAGCAAATATGGAAAACAAAAGAGTGGCCCACAAACGAGACATTCAATATATATTCCACTCTCTAAGAAAGGAGATACCAAGGAGTACTGTAAATGTAGGTCTATTGTTCTATAGGAGTGCTGTAAGTATAGGACCATTGCTCTTAATTTCCTATGCAAGCAAAGTGATTTTTCATGGTGTTGCCACAAAGGCTTGTATCTTATATGTAGTGAGAAGTGTGAGGATCAAGGTGGATTCTGAAAAGGAAGAGGGCTCAAGATTTTATTGCAGATATTCATTAGCTACTGGAGCACACCAAATAATTTCAAAAGAAGATAAATCTATATTTTATAGACTATTCCAAAGTCTTTGACAGTGTAGGTCATGATAAACTATGGGCTGTTCTAAAAGAAATGGGTGTACCTTGGCACTTGATTGTCTTGATAAGTAACCTATATTGTGGACAAGAAGTTAGAGTTAGGACAAAATATGGAGAGACAGAATGGTTTCCTACAGGCAAAGTCTGGGGGTCAGACAAGTCTGGGGTCAGACAAAAGTGTATCCCCTTATGTCTTCGATCTGTATGCAGAACATGTCATATAGAAAGCCAGGCTAGATTCAGATGAAGAAAGAGTTAAAATTGGTAGACAAAACGACAGTAATTTAAGATACAGTGGAACCTTGACTTACGAACTTAATCTATATTGGAACGGTGTTCGTACGTCGAAACATTCATAAGTCGAAGCAAAATTCCCCATAGGAATGCACTGAAAATATTTAATCCATTCTGGCTGTTTTTGGTTCTTATGTAGAGGCGCCGTTTGCAAGTAGAGACGTTAGTTCCCATAGGAACTAATACAAAGCTGGTTAATCCGTACTCTACCACTGGGGGAGAATTTTTTCTTTTTTCTTCTTTTGATCTAAGATGAACTTAGGTCAAAAAAAGGGCAGAAAAGGAAGGAGGGGGGAGGGAACACCTTCTAAACACAAGACCTTTTAACCTAAGCAGCTTTTAAACAAAACCCAGCACCTTTTAGCTTAAAAAAGGGGAAGGAGACTACCTTTTAAACAGTACACTTTTTTCTGTTCGTAAGTCGAAGCGGCATTCGCAAGTCAAAGCAAAATTTTGCAAATGGAGTGGTTCATAAGTCAAAATGTTCATAGGTAGGGACGTTCGTAAGTCAAGGTTCCACTGTATACAGATGATACCATCTTACTGGCAGAAAGCAGCAATGGCTTAAAACAACTTTTAGTGAAAGTAAAAGAAAAAAATGACAAAGCGCAAAGAACTGCAGTTTAACATTGAGACAGAAATCATAATTTCAGAACAACTACACAACTTCAATGTTGTCAGAAATTGAAATTGTTAAAGATTTTCATCAATTCAGACTGCAGCCAAGAAATCAGAAGACTGAGACTTGGAAAGGGCATCAATGAAGGAATTAGAAAAGATAATCAAATATCACTGGAGGCAAAGACCAAGATCATTCACATGCTTGTATTTCCTGTCACCATGTATGGGTGTGAAAGCTGAATAGTAAAGAAGGCTGAGAGAAAGTAAATTAATTCATTTGAAATGTGGTGCTGGAGGAGAGCTTTGCAGATATTGTAGACTACCAGAAGGATGAACAAGTGGATCCTAGATCAAATCAAGCTTGAACCAGCTCTGGAAGCAAAACACGTTGAAACTAAGGCAATCCTTCTTTGGGCACATTATGAGAAAACAGGATTTTCTGGAAAAGAAAATACTGAGAAAGCTTTAAGGTAGCAGGAGGCAAGGAAGCCCAACTACAAGATGGAGTGACTCCCTAAAGGAAGCCACAGGTTTGCATTTGCAAAAGCTGAGCACAGCTGTTGAGGACAGGGCATTTTGGAGACCTCTCATTCTCACCATAAGTCAGAGATGACTGTACACAACAAGAACAACAACAACCACAACAACCAGCAGGGTAGGGATACTTGTAGGATTTGTGATTTGCAAGTTCTGACAAAAACAGATCCAATCTGAATTTCCAGGACCAATGTGTGAATCACAATATGGGTTATCCTTATTTTTCACTTTGCAATTTGAAGAGTGGTTCTCAGCTGAAAAGATACATGTTTGGAATCACAGTCATGCTTTGGCATAAAATAGTCATGCTTTGGCATAAAATTGCCCAAATCTTGTTATATATATAACAAATTCCCACTGATTCATTGGGCCTGCTCTAGCATATCTTATTATGTTAAGTAATATAATATAAAATTGCCCAAATCTTGTTTTTTTAATATATATATTAGTGCAATTTTATATTATATTACTTAACATAATAAGATATGCTAGAGCAGGCCCAATGAATCAGTGGGAATTTGTTTCATTGCTTTGAATGGGTCTTCCCTTAACAGACTTTTAGCATAGTAAATCAGTTAAGAACAGACACAATAGAATTTTAGAGGAATTGACTTAGCAGATGTCCATTGATTCAGTGGGCCTGTTTTAGTGTGATTTACTACACTAAGCAACAGGATTTCAGCCACTGTTTGAGATGTGTTTTAAAGAGAATATATGTATAGAAATGGGACTGAATTTTTTCCTACAACATATATTAACATTTCTGTGCAGATTTTTAAAAGGATTTTTGTTGCTTTTCTTCTATTATTATTTATAGGTCATTTATATATTGCTATGTATTATACTATCAAGGCAGTGTGTCTCTTTATCAATTAAAAAACTGTCTTATTGCACCAAGCCCATGTAATAAACACCTGTCTGTGAATGGACTTTTGTCAAATGTTATCTGATAGATCATTTTTGATGGGAAGGGACAAACAAAAATATTTAGCTGCTTTTTGTGTAACGTGTGTAAGAACTGGTTCATACAGTTAATTAAAATACATTGAATGCTTGAAGTGGCATATAGGACTCCCTAGTTGGGCGCACCAGGGATTCCCAGCTGCCATAGCATCGAAATCAGGGGCCACCTGTATGTGGATATAGGATCATGTGTAAGCCATTTAGTTCTGAGTATTGCAGATTACTGAGTTGTCAGTGCTATGGAGCAGCTATGGATTCACATGTACTCAGAGATCATGTGAATCTTTACTTAGAATGAGTGTGCAATAATGTGGTTTTTTGGGGGGGCGGGGTGGGGGGTACATTTACCAGAACAGATGCCCATGCATATACACAGTGACTGATACCTTCTCTTCATGCATATACAAAGTGAATGACACCTCTTCATGCATACACATAGGGACTGGTATCTCCGTTTCTATTAGTTTACTTCCTCTTTGACCTTCTTTGTTATTTATCCCAGTCTTCTTTTTAAAGACTTTTGTGGCTTTGATGGAGAACTAGCTTGACAATGGTCATATGAGTTAAAATATGCTCAACATTGGAAATTAGAGTTAAGATTTCTGATTAAACATTAAACATTTTTATCTATACCATACTAACATGCTTTGGTTCAGCATCTTTTTGGCTTAATTTCCAATTAACTTGTCTGCATAATTTTTATTAGACATGTCTTTATGTTTCTGTTTGCTGGGGCCAAGCTGTAAAGAAAGCATTACTCCAGTTAAGGACATTTTCACACTCATCCAAAAGGAACATAGCACATGCTGCTTAGAGGTAAAAGTATTTAAAATGTGCCAAAGCACCCGCAACTGGTGATCTCACATATTAAAACAACAATGTTTTTCTGTTTTTTGTTGATTTATGCTCTTCTAATGCTTTCAGACACATCTTCCAAAAATTGGTCAAAATGCCATTCTAGAAATCATAAGCCTGTGTCATCATGCTGACTTCTTAATTGTTCTGCTTTCTAACACAGCATTGCTGCAGTAGATGCTTTCAGTAACTCAGGGCAGAACCACTGTACGAGAAACAATGCTTTGAAGTCAATGGCTTTTTCCCTCTCCCTCCCTCTGGAAATGGTTTATGCTTATGCACGTGTTTGTGAACACTAGAGTAACAGCAGTACTCTATCCTCTGTACTTGCTTCTGTCTAGCTGTAATTAATGATATTACTGTGTTAATTAAAAATGAATTACTGTTGTGTTTTCTAGATGAGCTGGTGAATCAATACATCTCAAGTCTTCAAAGCCATGAGGAAATGATTCGATGTGGCTTTTCTCTAGCCCTGGGTGCCCTTCCTAAGTTTCTTCTAAAAGGCAAGCTGAAGGAGGTGAGCTAGAATTCAAGTCTTAGGCTGGCAGGTTAATAGTTTTGTAAGTGTTTCAAGGAATATTTGGAGCTATAAGTGACTGCATAATTAAACATATGATGCTGGATAGCAGTTGTATTTGCTATTTTCAGTTTTATAATCAAACCTCTGTAATGTTTTGTTTGATTTCCATTGACACACAAGATTAACAGTCTTTGAAGTCACAGAGGGAATTTGTATTTCACATTTATGTCAGGATAATTTTAGGCATGTTTAAGCTTATATGTTTTTGGCTGATGGACAGATACTGCATCAATGGGGAGAGAACGAATAAGTAATGGATAATGACTGTTGACACCAGAGATGATGGAGGGGAATGGTTTGCCTTTGTATGGTCCTCGAGCAACCATCTTGAATATTCCACACCAATGGGCAATGGGGAGCTCTTTGTGTGTGGTTTGATGTTTTCTTTTATGGCAAGAAAAGTCAGGGAACTGTTACACCTGAGTTTTTGGTTTTATATCTATAATTACATGTTCAGATCTAAAAATTGGGTCAGCAGAAGTTGAAAAAATAGTTTGAAGGAAAAAAATATACTGTGTTTGTCCAGAAGTTGCAGCTGGTGAGGAAAAATAACCAATGGTGGTAAGGACTAGATGGAAGGAAAATAAGTAGTAGTTGTTGTTGTTGTTGTTGTTGTTGTTGTTGTTGTTATATACGCAAATGATGTCCTCACTAGTGAAGAAAGTAAATGGGGCAGTATCAAGAGGTTTGTGTTAGACAACCCCTGTATCCTAAATCTATCACTTAGATAAAATTATACTTTTAGGTTGGAACTACAGTAGATACGTAGCAGCAAAAGGAGGCTTCCGGTCCATCATTACTTTGTGACCCCTTCTTTCTGGTAACATTAGGGTGGTTGTTTTTTTTCTAGGTAACATCTCACAAGAAGTGTTGCGCAGGTCTAATAGCATAATGAGGTTGTGGCATGCCATCTTTGTTTTGTTTTGCTCCAGGTTTTGGAAGGTTTAAAGAGAGTCACTTTCATTTCCCCTGAAACTGTGAGCTTTGCTGAATCCAGACGAGATGCGTTAAAAGCTATTGCACAGTATGTACAACCAACTGTACAACCTTTGTTGGCCTTTGTTTAGTTCCCCCTCCCCCCATTAAAATATGAAAGTAGTGAATGCTGACTTTTAAATATTCGTCCTGGTGGGATTGTTTTGCTGCAGTTTTGAACTGTGAAGCAAAGGAACAACGCTTACATGTTTAACTGAAGGTTTTGTATCCGTATGGGACAATAAAGGGCTATTTTTAAATTCCTCCAAGATAATTTTTCTATGATGTGGTGTTGTTCTTGTGGAACAGGTTTTTATTTTTTGTTAGGATGATAGAGTATTGTGGTTGAGTAATTAATGATACAGTCTTTAACAAAATCAATCCCACTTTCATTATGATGTTTTTATTTCTATATCCCAGCTGTTTTTAATTTATTTAGGTAAATTCGTATTATTGAAATGGCATAATGTGTCTTATGTCATTTTCATTTCTTTCATGCTAAGATGTCAGAGAATTCAGCGTTGTTCCCTTTAAAAAACCCTGTGTTTTACAGTTCCCTTACCTTGTTTCTGCATAACTAGGAATTTTTAATGGTAAAATATCTGAAACCAGAAGAATGTTGTAATAAAGAACAAACCGCTGAACTTTAATTTATTCACATCTTTATATGGACCGTGTAACTTGTAAGAAAGTTATATAACACAAAAACATCCAGTGCAACGTGCCAGATTTACAACTGCAATGGAAATCAGTATTTTAGTCTCTAAATGCATGAACTTTGGACACAGGAGCTTGCAAGATGAAGGAGCTCTTTGATCACTATAGTGCTATTTCACTATGGATGGCTTAATGATGTACAGAGGAAACATAAAGAGCCAGTAAAAATGCCATCTGCCTCTGTAAACTAACTTATTTTGACCTGGTTTCTCAATCTGAGTAAGTTGCTCCTCAGGAGCAGTTAAGAGTCGTTCATAGACTGACTCCATATTTGGTTCCCTCCTTTGTACATGAGCTGCCCCATGTTCCCTGCTGTGTCATATACTTGTCCTCAAGACTATAAGCCATGACAGTATTTATGCTGAGAGATCATAAAACTAGCTGCATAGTTCATCTCCCTCTTCCTGTGTAACCAGCAATTAGTCCTTATAGAGTGAGTGTGCAATAGCAAAAGGTCATAATAAGTATTTTCAGCCTTTTGTCAATGCAAAACAGTTTTAGAATAACACCAGTACAAGACACATTTTCTCTGTTTTGGTAATTTGGCTCAGATACTGACAGCTTTTGTGCATGTTTTAGTACACAAATGTTGTGTCATTTTGTATGTATCTATCTTCCTGCAGGGTTTCTCTGACAGTTGGTGTGAAAGGAGAAGGGTCACCTGCTGAATTTGTCTGCAAAAATAATATTGGGCAGATATACAGCATTCTGCTGGATGGTCTGAATGATTACACAACAGACAGTCGAGGTGATGTTGGAGCATGGTATGTCCAGTGTCTCTGTTCTACAGAATAAGGCCCCCTCCAAAAGAAAACCCATCCAGTTTGGCAAAAACAAAGAGAGAAACGTTGGGATAGTAGTAAAATAGGTATAATTGATCTAACTCTTACCCATGCCCAAAAGTCATCCATTCATTTGTTCAGTACTTTTATTCTGTCCATTAACAAAAGTTCTCTAGGCATGTTACAAGAAGCTAAACCACTAAGATGGAGTGCAATTTTTTAAAAAAAAACTGTAGGGAAAAATAAAAATAAAGGGAAAAAATCAGTCCTAAAATTTTGAATACCCTGGGGAGAAAAGAAGGTTTTTCACCAGGTACCTGCTAAACATAGGGTAGGAAAGCCTGCAAGATAACTGGGCCACACTAAGACCACCTAATTATGATCTAGATCCCCACTGTTAACAAAGGGGAGGCTATAGAAAAAGGACAGAAAGTAGGTGGCTCAGCAAACCAGTGTTTATACAGTACATGGCAGGTAGCTGGAGACTACAGAATTTGTACCCACTGGATTTGCCTATGTAGGTATTAGTGGTGTGGCTTCTGCTAATTTTGTATTGGAAGCTAGTCAAGTTCCATTCTTGTTCTTACTGTTGTTGTTGCTGCTGCTCTCCTCCCACTCCTTCATGAGAAGAACATCTCACACTGAATAAAAAAAAAGTTGATTTAAAATATTAACGCATGAGATCCTCTTTCCTAGGCTTTTTCACATTTCTTGGTAATGACTACCAGTCACAGGAGATAGACTGTACACTTCTAAATATATCTCTGCAGACTAGAAAGGCAACTTGTCTAAGACTGTTTTCTGTATGCTTTCACCCTTTCCTTTCTTTAATTTTAATCTGAACGTTGCCTTAGTCATGCCTCTGTCTCAAAGGACGGATTGACTGCTTTGCCTTCACATTTTGGTGACTGGACAGCAGAGGGGGCAGTTGTATCAATAGTTGGAGGATCTTTGTCTTGTAGTTGTTGCTACATCTTACAAACAACAGGTTAAGAGCATTTTTAATTATTGTTTTTATTTTTTATTATCAACATGCCCTGTGGAAGGAGTGGGGAAGCCGTGGCTTTCAAGATGTAATTGGACTTCCACTCTTTCAGCCCTTGTCAGCATGGCCAGTGGTCTGTAATGATGGACAATGTAGTCCAGTAACATCTAGAAGATCAAAGGCGCGGCCTCCGCTGTGTGTTCATTGTTAATTCAACATGAACACAAGATCACTAACATGTACCCTTCTGAACATTAGCAAAAGGGAGCTAATTTGATAATGCTGTCTTTTAATTCTGATTGGTTGAGATGTGTAATGTTCATTCTCCTGCTGTTATACTGATGTAGAATGAGAATTATATACTGTATAAAGGAGATAATAAATTGTAATTTGAGATAAAGGAAATATTAGTCTCAGTACCATTGAATATGGGCTTTCTTTTCATTGCAGCTATTTGAGTAGAGAAGTGAGTGCATGAGAAGCTCCTTGTTTCAAGTTGACCAATTCTTGACCAACTATTTTTTAAATAGTATGTTTAGTTCTTGTATATTAAAGGAACCTTTAGCTAAAAGAGAGAGAGAGAGAGAAATGAGTCTACTATTCAGTGTATTTATTCAAAAGGAATGAAAAAGAAGATGGTATATAACAGGGGTTTTAAACTCAATTTACCTGGGGGCCGCTGGAGGCAGAGTCTGGCTGAGGCTGGGCTGCATCAAATTTTCTGCCAAGCGGAGCAAGAGCCCGAGGAAGCTGCCCAGGAGTATCCTTAGCCCAGCTAGGGCTCCGAGGAGGAGGAGGAGCGTGCGAGCCCTCATCGCCAACCATGACCCACTCTGGCTCCTTCTTCACTACCACCACCACCACCCTAGCTCTTTCTTCACTACCACCAGCAGCAGCAGCAGCAGCAGGACGAAGAAGTGGAGAAGGGAGGGAGCAACGGCGACAGCCTAGCCGGGGGGGAGGGCAGGACATAAAATTAAAAAAAAACCCTCACAGAATCGCCTTGCCAAAGGAGAAAAGCCCCCGTCGGTACCCGCGAAACAAAACAGAATGGGGCGCCCCCCACAGGTGCACGTGGGCGCACACGCACGCAAAAAAATACACAAACACAGAAGTCCAGCAGCCTTCCTCTGAGGGCCCCCATCAAAAAAAGCAGAAGTCCAGCAGCCTTCTTCTGAGGGCCCCCATCAAAAAAAGGCGCACTCAGCAGCAGCAGCTACCCCCACCATGACAGAGGAGCAAACTTTGCGAGGCGAGCCCAGGTAGCCAAGGCGGCTGAAGTAGGACGAAGCACCACCGGGCACTGAGGCGGCTGCTGGCCGGGCTGGTGCTGGGGGTGCTGAGAGAGAGAGAGAGAGAGCCAGAGAGCCGCTTCCCTGGAAGAAGTGGTGATGGCATCTGGTGTTAGCGGTGCTGTTGGAGGCGCTCTTCGAGGACAGACTGGGAGTGAGCTCCACTCTCGGGCATCGCGCGGTGGCGGCTCAGGCGCTTGGAAAAGGGCTGGCAGCGCATCTCGCTTGCCGACTCTCCCCCAAGGCAGCGCCTCTTGCACCCTCCAGACAGGTGGGCTGGCTGGCAGGCTGCAGTTCCAGATGGAGGGTGCAAGAGGCGCTGTCTTGGGGGAGAGCCGGCGAGTGAGGCGAGGCTTTTTTTGACTCGACAGCAGAGGATGCGTGGGCGCTTCAGGCGTAGGCAGGCAAGGCGGGGGCCGCAAACTATCCGTAGGCAGGCAAGGTGGGGGCCGCAAACTATCATCTGGTGGGCCGCAAATGGCCCTCGGGCCGCATGTTTGAGACCTCTGGTATATAATGTCATTAACGTTTCTTAGGAATGATTAGAGGCCAAGAAAGCAAAGTGCAGGAAGATTCATGAATCCCCCCCTCCCCATTTTAAAATGAATTTTTGACTTGAGGGTCACCTAAAGCAGATTCTGGCAATGATTCTTTTCCTTGTGCTGTTCTGTTAATAAAAACTTGTTCACAAAACTCTGCCCTGATCTGCTGTTTGCTCAACTGAGGAAAGCTTAAAGGTAAAGGTAAAGGTTCCCCTTGACAATTTTTGTCCAGTCGTGTTCGACTCTAGGGGGCGGTGCTCATCCCTGTTTCCAAGCCATAGAGCCAGCGTTTGTCCGAAGACAATCTTCCATGGTCACATGGCCAATACGACTTAGACACGGAACGCTGTTACCTTCCCACCGAAGTGGTCCCTATTTATCTACTTGCATTTGCACGCTAGGTTGGCAGGAGCTGGGACAAGTGACGGGAGCTCACTCCGTCACGTGGATTTGATCTTACGACTGCTTGGTCTTCTGACCCTGCAGCACAGGCTTCTGCGGTTTAGCCCGCAGCGCCACCATGTCCCGAGGAAAGCTTAGACAGAGCTTTAGGTGGACTAATCATTTTAATTAGGAAAATAGCTTTTTTAGAAATAATTATTTCCTTTTGTCTTCCTTATACTTGCATTTAGGTTTGGTAAAAATAATCAGGAAGTCTGGGAGGAGATTTACAGTATTATATTTAGTGTAAAATGGGTATTCTTCAGAAATATGAATTCTTAAATACGTATTTTGCATACAAGTTTTTTTGTTGTGCATTCTCAACTGCCTGTTGAGTACAAGGTATTTTATTCTAATCATAAAAAGTGTGAATGCAGCTTGCCTCAAATGTAACACTAGCAACTCTTGTGCTTCCTTCACCAGGGTGAGAGAAGCTGCTATGACCAGTTTAATGAAAATAACCCTGTTGTTAACTCAGACTGAGCCAGAGTTAATCGACGCAAAGGTGTACGTAGTTTGCTACATATGTGTGTACCTGCTGTATGGTTTGCTAAATCAATCTCTTCTATGAACAGCCTCTTCAGTAGTAGTAGTAGTAGTAGTAGTAGTAGTAGTAGTAGTAGTAGTAGTAGTAAAAGGGTGCTGTCAAGTCCTGAATTATGTGACAATTTTCAGAGTTTTCTAGGTAGAAAGTTCTCAGAAGAGGTCTACTGAACCCTTATTCTGGGGGTATCCTGAAGCTGTGCAGCTTGCCCCTGGCTACACAGACTGACTCTTATGTGATGCACAGTGGGACTGAACTACCAACTTCTGGCTCCACTGCCAGATACTTAACACACTGAGCTCTCCACTCATGAATGGGATTCAGATAGTCCTCCCACAATTCTCAGTTAGGAACTCAAGCAAAACTATCTTGGCTTCTGTTATTATGAAGACAGATTATAGTTTTCATTATCACTTCCTGCTTTCACAGAGTAGAAATTTCTGCTTAAATTGTACAGTACTGCATCCTGCATATAAATCCTGAATTTCTGTTCCTAGAATTTATTTAATTTTGGGCCTGAAAGTCACAACTATTGACAGAAATAGAGAATCAAGATAGGAAAATCAGTGACAGCAGCTTTTCTGCCTAGCTTGTGAAAAGACAATCTGAGTAAATGTGCTTCATATTTCTTTTCCTGGAGCTTGGGGCAAAGTAAAGGTACTGTTTGTTTGCACAGCTTTTCATAGACCTGTTGCTTGATGAATTCTTAGCAAGGCCTGACTAGATGATTATAATGGGAATGTAAAGTGGAACCTGAAAATATGCAGATCCCAACAAATGTGTTTCCTGTGCACTTAATTACAGCTCAGAGCAAATCATGTGCTGTGTGGCTCAACAAGCAGCTGAAAAAATTGACCGATTTCGAGCCCATGCAGGATCTGTGTTCCTCAAGATGCTCTACTTTGACAACCCTCCTGTCCCACACATACCCCACAGGGAAGATTTAGAGAGAATATTTCCAAGGTAATTGGTATCTGATTGTCTCTGATACAGTTGTCCAGAAGCATGAAAGGAATGTCTCACCTGGAACATTTTAGCTTAATTCTGATTAAGTTCATGGTTTGTATTTGGCTTTATTGCAAGAAAAGAACAAAAGGCATTTAATATTAATTTTTTGCCTGAATCTATAGATTATAGCTGTTTTGAGTATGCAGCATTTTCCATTGTCAGTTGGTTCTTCAGTTCAGTAGATCAACATTGAACAGGATGTGAATATCAGCAGTTTCAAAGAAAAAGAAACTGTGCAATACTTGGTTACTGATATACGAAAAACAGAATTAAAGATTACGTGCAAACATGTGTAAAATACCTTGACATTCTGTTTTGATTGTGCAAACCACTCCACCTTGTAGAAAAGCAGTGGTGGCTACATTTACTCATTTAATATTTCTTTCTCTTCTCCAAATTCTAGCCCCACCATAGGCTGATCTCTTGAGAGTTTATCAATTTTACATTTGTATATCACAGCTAATTGACGCCTTACTAACTGATGTATGAAAATCTTACTTCATGCATGCAGTTGTAACTCATGCATAATTTATTCTACATTTTAAGTAAAACAAGTAAAACAATATATTAGTTTGGGTTGTGTGTAGTCTGGTTGAAGTAATATCATAGGATATTAAAATGACACAGTATAAAATACTTGTTCTACTGTACAAATAAAGTTTCCAAATGTTGCTAAAAACGTTTTTCTGCTTTGAATTTAGTGGCTGTTGATTTGATTTTTGGCGAAAAATCCAAACAACAGATAGGCAAGTGTTTGGTGAAATAAGACAGAAGTAACAATTATTCTTGTTTCCAAAAGCACCATCTTTATTTCCTATTTTTCACAGGTCAGAGGCAGTGACTTTCAACTGGAATGCACCATCACAAGCCTTTCCCAGAATCACACAGCTTTTGGGCTTAGCACCCTACCGCTACCATGTTCTAACAGGTCTGACTGTATCTGTTGGTGGACTGACCGAATCCACAGTAAGTGAATATAACCCATCTTTGTGGTAAGAAGAGCTCCTTATCATTTTAGGTATAGGCTGTGTATTCTAGCGACACTGTAGTAACTGCATGGGCAAAGAATCCCTAGAATTTGGTTCACCATTCTACTTTCTCATTCCATCCCTACAATGCTTTGCCCATCTTTGACTCATTCAAAACTTTGCAAAATGCAAAACTCCTTGTTGCCTTCCATAATAGACCATTGCCATTGGGCTGTTGGTGCTACAAATATGTTGAACTTTCCTATCTGTGAAAAGTTATAAATGCTCAGTCTGTGATGCCAAGCTCTTTGGTATGTTATAATAACTAGGAGATTACATTGAATTTCGCATTAGGGAGTGGTTTTAAATACCAGGTCTTCTCTTATCCAGATTTTCTGAGAAAGAAAAATCATTGCTCAAAGAGGTTGAACAGGCTCATTTCCAGTATGTTTGTACTGGCTTTTAAGAACTAGTTAGACTTAGTTTTTAAGAAATGTAAGTCATTTGATTGCTGCTGTTCATGTCCTTACTGTCGTCTTTGCTGTTTATTTAAGAACTTTGGGTTCTAATTTTATGTTGCATAAATTTTATATCTTAAATTTTTTCAGTAGTTTAGCTTGGCTAAATTAGTAAATGTTTGTTGTGAGAGAATTGCTAGTGTGCCTCCAGATCAGCATCGATTAAATAAATAAAACGTTCTAATTAGTTGAAAATGCTTTCCCAGAAATTAGGCTGATTATTGAAAATGTGAGTGATTTACTGATTTGGCGTTGCCTTCTTTTGGTTAGCTTTTGTTGGGACCCAGTAATTCTTTCTTGTCTTTATACTGATTGAATCACTCTCCCGTTATGGAGACCGAAAGTGCTGCTTCACACAATGCCTAAAGCAGTGGTCCCCGACCTTGGGCCTCCAGATGTTCTTGGATTACAACTCCCAGAACCCTTCACCACCACCTCTGCTGGCCAGGATTTCTGGGAGTTGAAGTCCAATAACATCTGGAGGCCCAAGGTTGGGGACCACTGGCCTAAAGAACTTACGGAATTTACTAAAATGAGAGTTGGTGAGAGCTACTAGCTTTGCAGACTTTTAAGATTGTTAGACAAATTTATGGAGAAGTATATCAGTAGTTGTTAGGAGTAACTGGGAGTTGGATTTAGTTTCTCAAGTGCCAATAAAGAAAGCTAAAATGGCTTTCCTCTTGTCTCAAATAGCACAGATTTTTCAGTGGCTTTGCGAAACAAAAATTTCTGTAGGAAAGGCAAAACAGTTTAGTCAAGTTAAAAATGATTGTGGATTTATATGCTTCTTCGGGTTGAGACTGTTTTATTGGGAATTCTCTTGTAGGTGCGATGCTCATCACAAAGCCTGTTTGACTATCTGAAGGACATTCAGAATGACACAGATGCCATGAACAGTTTTTGTGAGACACTGCTGCAAGTTTTTGAGAACAACTTGCAGAATGACAGGTAAATTGGATATTTCTATAAAACGTTGTTACACATTGGCCAAAATCCTGGTTGTACAGTAAGTTATGATTGTGGATGGGTGATGATGTCATCAGCAGGGGAGGATTTTTGGAAACAAAGGACTTCCTTCTTCTGTCCCATGGCTCCCATGCAATAAAACTGATAACTAAAGTTGGAGAAGACACAGGACCCAGAAGTCTTTCATTACTGAAAATCTCCCTGTGGTATTGACATCTTTAGATTTTTACAGGTATAACTACACTCTTGGCCATATTTTTACTGGGAGATGATTTAGACAAATTCATGGAGATTAAGGTTATTAGCAGCCGCTAATCACAGTAGTTATATGTTATTTTCAATATGTGCCAATGCACCTCTGAAACTAATTTGCTGGGGAAGAGGAGGGTACTAATATACTAATATCCTTCTGCTTGGCGACTTCTCAGCCACTATTGGAATAAAGGCTTGCAGTAGCTTAATACAGCTCTTCTGTTCTTACTTATTAATTTTCATCTATGTTTTCAGGGAAGTCAGTAGGAATGCATGTTTCTGTCCAGAAATTTTGACTTGGAATGCAGAAATGTGAAATGGCATCATGGTATTCTAAAACTGCAAGTCATCCAATATGAACCTATTTTTGATTTGCCAGAGATAGGAAAGTGCCACAAGTTGACTGAGCAAACTGTATTTGAGCCATTTATTTTCTGAACTGTATACAGTCATTATTCAAATGATTGTACAGTATACAGTTCTTCTTCCTCCTTTTTTTTCTATGCAGCCAGATCATAACAGAGTCTCTATCAAGACCCGTTACCAATTTATGTTCATCTTTTATGGTTAGTGGGGCACCACTTAGCTAGGAGTAAAAAAAACCCAATCCCTGCCTCTGCATATGAATGTAATTCAGTTTCACTTCATGTACCCCATGTGCGGTACTGCTTGTTTCCCAGCTGTGCCTGCCAGAGAACTGTTGGAAAGGCTTCTGAGCATGTCCATTCTAGGAACACACCCAGTGCACCACATACCAGCCATCTGCTTGTACTATCTAAGCATATTTCCCAACTTTGAGCACGTGCACAGGGCAAGACACTCAGGACATTTGCAGCTGCGTCAAAACTATTCTGAGCATGCAAGGTCAAGAGGCAACTCTTTCACCAGACTTGTGTGGCTTCTATGAAAGGAAATAATTCATTCTCTAGGAAGCTCAAGATCAGACAGAATGGACCTGGAGCCAATGGGCTCCAAATCTTTTCCCTCCCAACCTCTTTGGTTGTAACCCAGCTTTTCTCATTGTTTCCTCTACCTCCACTTCTCCCTTCAAGAACAGAGGGCAGGAGTACACTGGCCTTTGTCCTCCTGATGTGGCTTGTGCTGCGTCTTCAAAAGAGATGTTTGGTAGTGGGGGAGAGAGAGTAAGGGTGTTGAGTACATGTATATGACTGAAAAAAGGAAGGTGGGTCATCATATGGGAAGCAACCGCTGGACTAGCTGCTGTGTGTTGATAAATGACTGGCACTGTCACCAAAGCCAATGGCAAGGGAATAAGACGTAAAAGGGGAGAGGGTGCTCTATTCTACTTTCCTGGTCTATTTCCTTTCTGAAGTCATGTGGTTTAACCTAAGCTTTATACTAAACCTTTTTTACAGGCAGTCTTTTCCCATGGTAAAGCCTGTTCCTTTCTTTATTGTACACTTGGTGTTTCTTTGCATTTTACCATGCCCCTCCCGTGGTCAAGATTCTGTGCCTTGAAAGCAGCATAGTGGGCAGTGCTTTAATGGGTGTTCTGCTTCTTCGGTCTGCCTATATTCCTGCATCATCAAGGAATGAGGTAGAACCTATTTTAGAATCTTATGAGCCAGCCAGTCTCCTGTGAGCTGTGGGAGTCCTGCTGCAGTGTTACTTCTAAAAAAGTATTAAAGGTGTGTACCATCTGTCTCTTCAAGCAGTAACACCAAGAGAGACCTCTCTATCATAATAGGAGATTTACAGGTATTGTGTTTTGTATAAAGAGACACCAAAGGGTGCCATTTCGGTGGGAAAGACAGAGGGGATAAAAGGAAGGAAGGAGAAGGGGGAGGGGCAGTTGGAGATAGAAGATGAGGAGGCTTGTTGGGTACAAGAGGAAGAGGAAGTTGACAAAAAAGAAGATTGGCTAGAGATAGTGCAGAAAGACCGCCAGGCACCGATTGAACGGAGTTCAAAATCCCAAGAGAGTATGCAGAAAAAGAGTAGAAGAGACAAGTCTATAGAAAGCCACCCTATTGGAGGAAAACTGAAGAGAGAGAAAGGAGAAAGCAGTTCAAAGCCTGGCAGCAGCGGGAGACCCAGAGGAGAGAACACAGATAATGTACGGAGACTCCTGGGAAATCCCATAGGGCCAGTTCATTCAGACCGAGGTTGAGGCAAAACCTGGGCAAAAAGGTATGGGAGCCACAGGTGGGCTGGGTTTTCCACCCCCTCAATGACACTTAACAAGGCTCGAGCTTATTGCCAAAGTGGTATGACAAAGTTTGGAGTTCATCACCCTTAACATTAAAGGGAAATATGTTAGCGTTTGAAGACGATAAATGTTACGAAGCAAGAGACGGGGAACTCTGTTAACTTTGATAAGTTGTCAAAGAATGAAGATGTTTTATTAGAAGACCCTGACGTTCATGATTCATCCTTGCCTCACAATGTGTCAGAGGGAGATCAATGGGCTGAAGAGGATCTCGGATGTGTGAGAGACAATTCTGCTCTACTTAAAGGCTGCAAAATCAGCAGATCAACTTAGGCAAGCCACTGTTATCTGACTCCCATCACAACATGATGGCAGCAGTGTACTGGCTTATTGTTTGGATTGTTGAAATAGTGCTTGTGAAGTACTCTAAATGTTTAAGAACAGATACAGTGGTGCCTCGCTTAACGGGCGCCTCATTTAATGACGAATCTGCATAGCAACAATTTTTGTGCTCGTTTTTGCGATCGCATAACGATGTTTCTAATGGAAAATATTGCTTTGCGATGATCGGTAAGCTGTTTCACTTTCCGATTTTCGCATAACGATGTTTTCCCAACAGCTGATCGGCGGTTCCAAAATGGCCGCCGGGGAAAAAAATGACTGCCCACTGTGTTTTCGCGCCCATTCCTCGCTTACCGGGCAGCGAAAATGGCCACCGTATGGAGGATTTTCGCATAAAGGTAATTTTTTTTGCCCATAGGAACACATTAAACGGGTTTTAATGCATTCCTGTGGGCTTTTTTATTTCGCATAGCGACGAATCCGTATATCGACGATTTTGGCTGCACATATTATCGTCGTTATGTGGGGCACCACTGTAGGCTGCACGGATTATTGGCGTTATGCGGGGCACCACTGTATATAAATGCTGTTACAGTGTGGAAAATGTTGGGTGATAATGAACCTCAGTTCTTAGTTGAGAAATTGAGTTAGATTGCTTTTAGCTTCTAATTCTTGCTGTACAGCTTTACTAGAATTTCTGGTCCCAATATGAACCTATCAGCATTACTTCGGTATTGTTCCCCCCCTCCCCATATTTGAGAGAAAGCATTGTTGTTGTTATTACTTACATTTACATCCCACCTTTCTTCCAGTGAGGTCTAGGCATCATTCATTGCATCATCATAACAACCCTGTGAAGTAGGTAAAGGTGAGAGAACATGACAGGCTCAAGGTTATCCAGTAAGCTTCATGGCCAAATGAGGGTTTGAACCCTAGCCTCTTAAGTCAGAATTGAATGAATACTGTACTCATTACACCACCCTGGCCACATCAAATTAAGTGGCAATAACAAATTTGCATCCTCTTTATTTCACTTTACAACCGAGTTGCCACTTTTTCATCCAAATACCTGTGGCTCATCTCCTTCTCTCTCTTCTGCTCCTGTGGGTTCCTCTCTCTCTCTACCCCCCCCTTTGGTTTCTCTCTCTTCCTATTTACTCACCGCCACCTGTGTGGCTCCTCCCTCCTCCAGCTTCATTCTCTGTCACTTCTGAGATGATTCAGAACCCTTGGAGAGAAAATGAAAATTTCTTAGGTTGGTAGAATCATTAGACGGGGAAATTAAGTGCATCCCGTTGTTTATCATCTAGTCTGATGGTACAAATACCATGGTGAGTGTACTAGCTCCTCTGTGTTCAGGTTGACTTTAGTTGGAAGATACAACATAATGAAGTCTGGTAAGAAAATTAAAAATATAAAATTCTTTTTCATTGGACACTGACACCATATTTTGGAATATATTCTTACCACTTTTTCCTCTCTTTCTTTACTAGGATATCCGTGCCACTGCTAAAGATGCTGGACCAGCTATTGGCCAGTGGCTGCTTTGATATCTTCCTATCTGAAGAAAAGTAAGTGATTATCTTTCTAGCTTAAGAAAAATGATTTTCCCCATTTGCTGGAAATGTTCAAATGAGAAAATTCCATTCTCCTTAATTTTTATTACTTGTGAAGGATAGTTCTGGAAACAAAATAATTTTTTTAATATATTGACATAAGATTTCTCTGGGGCAGTTTTTTATTTTGAAATAAAATAAAATCAGTACTGAGAATAGAGTTGTGAATCCTGTTAGTTGCCCACACACAGTAAAAATAATGGTTTTTAAGTTCTTCAGACAGTAATGTCTCCTGTGTTATATATTTGGAAGTATTACTGCTTAAATTTCCCGGTGCTGGCATGATTCCAGGTAGCCTGTTGCTAAGATTAATGGGAGTATCTTTATTTTGGCCAGTGTATCTTGAGTAGAGCATTCCAGGTTTCTGCATGAGTATCACATTGGTGCACTGACTGGCATCTGATGTAATATGGCCTCTCTGAGAGTGAAGGGAGGAAGGAAGGAAAAGGCATTGTGTTAGAAGATTGTGACATGCCATTCTTGACCCCGCAAATACTACAAGTGAGAGTGGGTGGGTTTAAAGTTCTCATTGTTCTCCTTACCAAAGGTAAGAGAAGGAGGTTGAGTCCCCTCTGCTTTTCTAACTCAACTAAGCATTTGTATGCAAGTGCCAATGTAGTTCTACCTTTTCTGCAGATTATACAAAGCAGATATAGGCCATTTGCTGAAGGCAATTTAATGTGCCATCAGGGGGTGTCTGTCACTACAGACTTTAAGAAACAAGCCTGTGTCTATTTGCCTTTGCCTTAAGACAGAGGGTGGTAGTGTTGTTTCTCCTCAGGCTATTCCTGAGGGGGGAAACGGTGTCCTGCTCTTGACTTAGGGACCACCCTGAGGGTTGACATGATTGATCTGGTCAAAATGCAAGCTCACCTTTGTAAACAGCTTCATTTTCAGGAAGACGTGTGCCGGATTTGCATAACATTGAATCTTTTTGGACAGATCCCTTTCCCCTAGACACAGATTTTGTTTCTGCTGGAGTGCTGCCCGTACAGGAGAAAGAATTTGCTCAATTTCCTTTGGAGAGGCCATGCTATTTTGAGATCACCAGTAGGTTAGACTTCGTAATAACTAATGCGGAACTGGCAGATGACAGCATGTGAAGCAGGTCTATTTCAAATGCTGAATCCTACGCACAAAACCTACATAGGCTAAATTTTTTCCAGATGCTCAGCTGCAACTGGCCTCTTTGCTGAATGCCTGTATTGTCATTTCCTTTGGAAATCACACCTCATTCCTTGCATTGCCATTGCCCTGTGTTGAAAAGCAGCAAGCACTCCCATTAACAGAATTAATCTCTAATAAATTCCATCCAGTCTAGGAACAGCCTGGCATAATTGTGAAGGACATTAAGCAGACTAGAGTCAAGTGATGCAGAGAACCTTCGTCACATAACTTTTGCAGCTATATTATGTATAATATATAGTTATATATAGGTTGTGTGCTTATGTGAGAGTAGTTCACACACATACAATTTTCTGCAATCTTCTACGAACCCATACTTTCGCCCCAAAATATGTGTGCAAACTTACATTTGGTGTGCATCAACTGTTGTTTGGAAAAAAACGAAACCAACTTCTGGAACACTTAAAAAAACCCAGGCAAAATACAAACACAGCACATTCTTAATTATATACAAAACTTTAGTGTATATGTAATGGTTTGTATTACAGTGACTGGTGTGGGATTACTTACATTTGGTGTGCATCAACTGTTTGGAAAAAAACGAAACCAACTTCTGGAACACTTAAAAAAAAACCAGGCAAAATACAAACACAGCACATTCTTAATTATATACAAAACTTTAGTGTATATGTAATGGTTTGTATTACAGTGACTGGTGTGGGATTTCTGGGCCAAAGCTACCATACATCTAATTATTCTCTCTCTAAAAAGGTACTAATTAATGTTTTGGATAGATCTGTGTTGCTGTATTGTGCCAGCTTAGTGTTTGGGAGCTACTTTTATAATTCTCAGTACATCTCATAAAACTTGAGATAATGGTTTATCTTTTTTTTTAAAAAAGGCTAGATTTGTTTTCTTTTTTTCCTCAGTCACCCATTTCCTGTAACTTTACTTAAACTGTGTAAAGAAGAGAGCAGGAGATCTAAAGATATCCAGAAGCTTCGCTCCAGCATTGCAGTGTAAGTTCAGAAAATGAAGTGTAAGCATAAAAAAGCAGAGAATAAATCACAATGAGGGAGACATCATTGTATTCATATGATGTTTGGAGGAAGACCCACGAAGAATGTAGCAAAAATTGCTGTCAGTTATAATGTATGTTCTGCTCTCTGCACAAAGAGTTTATTCTGCTATTTTGTTATAAGAGTAAAAGTGTTTTATTGCTGTGAATTTGATAGAACTGGGTATTAGTACTGATTTGAAAGCAAATGGAGCTAAGTGAACAATCTTAAATGGGGATTCTGGCAGATTATTCATTATTTCCAAAGCAGGTAAATGAGAGCATTTCCCTTACTGAACATGTCACCAGCAATTTTTCTTTTTTTAAAAAAAAATCCCTTGTGTGTGTTTCAGGGTTAGGAAGAGCATAGATTACAGCACTAGCCCATTTATACAACCCTAACCGTTTGTATGTTGATATAAAAAAAAAAAAAATCCCTTGTGTGTGTTTCAGGGTTAGGAAGAGCATAGATTACAGCACTTCCCAATTTGATTGATTTGGACACAACCATAACCCATTTATACAACCCTAACCGTTTGTATGTTGATATTCCAGGTATTTACTCAAAGTCTGCTATGAAACTAAGTAGAGTGAGAGAAATTACTAGTTTATGCTACAGATACATTGTTAGGATCAATGGCAAAACATATCACTGTTGATCATATGATAGAATAAAGTCACAATTGAAATAAAAAACTATTTTCTTTTCCTAGGTTTTGCGGTCTGATTCAATTTCCAGGTGACATGAGAAAACAAGTTCTGTTTCAACTTTTCCTGCTTCTCTGCCATCCATTTCCTGTTGTAAGTACTGGAGATACTGGTTGAGGTTTTGGAGGTAGTTGCAATGTTTCTGGCTTGTAGGGAATCTACTGCATGTTAGTTTAAAGGCCATTTAAAATACTATTTGCATTCCCCCCTCCACATACTATTAAAAATATCCCTAAAGATTTAATGTTATTATTCTTCAGTTCTGTTCATTCAAAACACAGAAAACAGTCAATTCTTCTGTCTTTCGCTGTGAGCTGGTGTGTGAGTCTAAACAGTTTAAAGATATGGCTATGTAAATTTTGGACTATATGCTGGTTGGCTTTGCAATGATGTAGAGCAAAAATGTGCATACAAATGAGAGCAGCAAATCAGGTTACTCTGCCCTAGAGTTTGAGAGGCTCTGGTTTTCTGATAGGAATGTGGGTTTTTTGAACTACAGATGCCATTTTTTTTTTCTGGGAGTCCCACCTGCAGGATCCAGACCTGACAGACACCTGAAGTGAGCTTGCTTGGAGAGACTTCATATTTTGGATAGACCTAACTTCTTGTTTGAGAAAGAAACTGTTCCAGTGGTTGTGGAACTAATGAACATCTTCCACTATTTGCCTAACTCCCTTCTAAAGCTCTTGCCGCTCACTACCTTCTGTGATAAAATGTGCAGTTACACTATGTGCTTGTGGAGAAGTACTTGTCCAGAATCTCTCACAATTCATTGTTTGATCCAAGTTTCTAATATCATGAGAGGAAGGAGTCTGGTCACTTTGCCTGCTACGCACCTCTATCACATTCTGCCACCTTCTTGCTTGCTTGCTTTTCCTAAATTCCAAACACTGTAATCTTGCCTCATTGTATTCTTGTGATAGACCTTAATCAGAATTATACACAGTGCTCCAGTTGCGGCCACACCATGACTTTTTCTAATGGTATTGTGATGCTGGTAGTCATCTTTTCAATTCCTTCCATAATTATTTGGAACATGGACTTTCTTCTTCACAGGTGCATACTTGGTTTGTGTTTTCCTTTCATTGTCTACCATACTCCAAAGTTTAGTCAATCACTCCCAGCTCAGAACTCATTAGTCCTCATTGGAATTTTGGATTTTTCTACCCCACCGCATATCCTTTTATACTTGCATGTACTGCAGAACATTTAAATGTCTATCCTCCTAGTTGATCTCCTTTAGTTTTTCCTCCTTGGTCACCTACACCAGTGGTTCTTAACCTTTGTTACTCGGATGCTTTTGAACTGCAACTCCCAGAAACCCCCGTCAGGACAGCTGGTGGTGAAAGCTTCTGGGAGTTGCAGTCCAAAACTCCTGTAACCCAAGGTTAAGAACCAGTGACCTACCCCTTCCAGGAAATGCCTGCTGCAAATCTAGATTCACACACCTTTTTGAAATTCCTGCAATAAATCTACATTTCAAAGGCTTCTGTATATTTATAGTTGCTCGAGTTAAAGTCCATAATACTGTGCTTTACAATACAACTAGGAATACATAGAACAACATCCATTGCCAAAGCTAGGATTTTTGTTGTTGCATATTGTACTGTCCATCTTAAGGCAGCAGCTCTGGATCACATCTGTTCAGATTTTAATTGAATGGATATGGTGGACCTAGGAATAACTTATCTATTTTTTTTCCTAGATAAGGAAGACAACAGCCAGCCAGGTTTATGAAATGCTGTTAACATACAGTGATGTCGCTGAACCTGAGGTTATAGATGAGGTCATGACGATTCTAAGTGACACTAACTGGTGAGTTAAGTTAGCTATGCTGCCAATCTTGTCCTGAATCACTGCACTGTATTTAATCATCTGTGACATAAAATGGATGAGGGAGGGTTTACATGTTTGTTACAGCTTGTTAGAATCGTGAGAGATTTAACATAAAACAAAACTAGCATGAATCAAAAGCAAACCTACATAAACTAGGGCCATATTGATTGATGTATTGATTGTAAAGATCTATGCCTCTCTAGGCTTTTAATCTAAATGACTCCCAAGGCCCTCCTGATACATTGTACAATTGAATACAGAGCTATTAAATCTTCCCGTTTGGCGGATGTTAGCAGAGTTGAGAGATGTGATGTTCAAGCCTCTTCCCAGCTTTCTGTGTTTTTGCAATCAGGGTAAATTTAAAAAACATGCTGAACTGCCCCATAACACTTGAAGCACTCTCTGGGGGGTTTACAATTTAATTGTGCAGGCTACACATTGCCTCCCGCCCTCAGTGAGCTAGGTAGTCAATTTACCAACCTTGGAAGACTTAAGTCACCCTTGAGCCAGCTAACTGGGGTCGAACTTAGATTGTGTGGAGAGTCTTGGTTGCAGTGCTGCCATTGAACAACTGTGCCACAAAGCTCAGGTGTTACTCCTGTGTGGAGCTGTTTCTCATATAATTGAATTCATGATAGATAAAAATAATGATTCTTTTGAAAAATGTTTTAAAATATCAACGAAATTCACAGACACCCAGAGACCAGACACATGCACACACATAAAATTCCCAAACACTCCCCACCCACTAAAAGTCCCCCACTAAAAATACAAACATCTACACCGCAGGCCAAGTTACACAGTCCAACTAATTATTCACTACTGGTGGTCTTTAAGCTCATTATTAATTGCAATTATAGCTCTGGGATAAAAACTATTGAGAAAACGTGTGGTCCGAGTCTTAATTGTTCTGTATCTTCTGCCAGATGGTAACAGTTCCAAAAAGTTATAAGCAGGATGGGAAGAGTCTCTCAGGATGCTATGTGATTTCCTTAGACAGCGGGATGTGAAGATGTCATCCAGGGTTGGTAGCTGGAGCCCGATGATATTCTGGGCAATTTTAATGGTTCTCTGTAGAGCTTTTTTGTCCGCTACAGAGCTACTCCCAAACCATGCCAGAATGCCATAGGTTAGGACACTCTCAATGGTGCTACGATAATATGACAGAAGTAAATGCTGAGATAAATTTAACTTTTGTCATTTAAATCATTTTTTAAAATTCATTATTGTTAAAATACATTTTTAATTCTGACATAATTTTCATTTAAAACTTATAATTTTATAAATATAGTCCAACAGTTCTTGGATTGAAGCATTATGTTTGCTAAGTTTCTGTATAGATTATTTAGATGAATCTTTCCCTCTCCTCAAGGAGTCTAGAAGAGACCATGACAATTTTCTGGAGTTCTCAGACTGGCTTTGTCTCTCTAGAGGTGTATAGCTGCTTACAGTACATAGAGAAGTAACGAACCTGATCAGCTTTCTTTCTTTATCTGACTTAAAGTTATCCAAATCCTGGAGTTCCCGCACCCCCACCCTGCTCCCAATGTGATAAATGTTAGAAAGCTACTGAAAATTCCAGACTCGCTTGCAACATTTTTCTTGAGTGATGCTGATTCTTTCAGAGTGGCAATTATAGCTGTTGCCCCTCTGCAACTTTAGTTTAAAAATAATTTTGATGCCAAAATATCTAGAACTTCTAAATGTTAAACTGATTTTTTTAAAAAGCTTGTTAAATATTGCATGTTTACTGCTGACGAAAAAAATCCACCATAAAGTATTAGTTTAATTAAATGAAACCGTTTCAGTGTCTGTCTTGAGTTGATCATTGTCCTGATAGTGTAATCAATATTCATGACTAATCTGTTCAACTCAAAATTGTTGACCTTCCAGTGCTTTCATAAATATTTCCAGCAACCTCTGGTAACTGAAATAACTATTCATTTTGTAATATAACTGCAAAACTAATCAGAATGTTTTTCAAAATAAACCATGTTTCTGACTTGTGTAGAATATGCATACATATTGAGGTTAGAGCAAGGAAAATGTACTTGGGAAATCACATGATCGAATCTAGTTTTTCTGAGCAGTAGTTTTAAATCACTCTGGACTAGGTGGAAAGACGCTCACAGTTTATTGTCTGGGGGTGTTAGAGCCCAGAGATTTTGAGAAAGATGTGATGTTTCTTATGCTGCTGACCAGATAGGGCCTGTGGTTAGTGCAGAATAACAGCCACTAGCTAGCTGTTTGAATTTCATCCCTCCACTTGCTTGCCTCATTTGTAGACTCTAGCCATAACAACTTGCATATTATGACTCTTTGTGCCAAACTACTGACACCATACCAGAACTTCACCTAAAGAGAATTCTCTGATGGAATAAGCCATTTTACGCTAAATTAAGTATTTAATGCAGCTTCAGATCTGCTGAGCTAATACCGTATTTCATGTTATTTTTGCTCTCCAAACAGGGATGCAGATTTGCCATTTCTGAGGACGCAGCGTAACCATCTCTGTGATTTAATGAAAGTGCCCAAACCTCAATTGGTAACCAAGGTACATTTCATAAAGATCTATTTATTTTGATCTGAATGTCTTTGGGATCCTTTCAGGAATGCCAAATGTTTAGTGAAGTTCAATATTTGAGGGGGGGGGGATATTCAGCTATGTCCCAAGCTCTTTTCAATATGTGCAGGCTTAGAGCTGCCAGAAAGCAAGTGCTATATAACTGTCTCCCATCCCTTTCCTTGAAAACATTCCAGACTTCTGGTGCTCAGCTACTAGACAGCAAGCATGAATTAATACAGTGCAGCTGGCTCTAAGAGTGTGCTTTATGAAAAGGAGCAAGTAGAATTTCCATTTTGAGTGTTAACAGGAAAATGTAGATACCATTGCTTCTTTTTAGTCCCTAGTTAACTTTTACAGAGAAACATTTTACCAGACAGAAAGTTGAGTATACTATTAGTTCCCAACTGTGGAAATACTATGAAGATTTCAAGTGTGGTTGTGGATAAAGTCTTATTAATACCAAGTTATCAACAGCATTGCAAAAAATATTTTCATCTTTAGCAAGAGAATATAGATATTTCAAAAGATGCCCCCCCACCTGAAGTATGAAGTCTTCTAAATGGGTGTGGTTCAGCCCTCAGCCTGAGACCCAGCAATTTATTTCATATTACTTTGTGCTAATATTTGTACTGTTTTCAGAGGACTAATGTCCAGACAACTGAAGTTAAAAGGCCACTGGGATAGAAATGCATTACTGTACCTTATTCACACACAATTTTTTTTTAAAAAAAAAATCTTGCTATAGGAGGTCAGTGACATAGTATTGAATTAGCATTCTTGGAAGGCAAAAAGGGAGCAGAGCTTATGCAGCAGCCTATTCAGAGGTACCTGCACTGAGGAGCTGATACCTCAATTCAGAGCTGGGCTGCTTTGTCCTCTGCGGGAAAAGCTGGTGCTGATGGTTTCAAGTATTGTTCTGTCTGTTGGTGCTTTTGCCTCCCCACACCCCACTTCCTATTCCCACTCTAATATTTGCTTCTACTAGAAAGGCACATTAGGGATACTGAAGTGCTAATAGGATGCTAATTACAAAGAAAGTATTATAGTGAAGTTTTGCTAGAGCAAAAAATGCACAGTCATAAAAGCAGTTTTGCATTTCCTTGATGTGAAAGAGATCTGAAGACAGTCTTGTGGCAGCTCTCTGATCTAAGAGTGACAGCCACATCTGCATCCCTTTACACTTTAGCGAAGGACCTCCTCTCCACAAGCCAGAGGAATTTCTCACAGCAGTTTGATTTCCTACTGCCCTGTTTTTCAAAAGGGGCTATATGAAAATATGCAGCACTATCCAGGTTTGGGAGCTCATATTTCACAAGGGCATATGGAGAAGTATACAGTGCCTTGTTAAAACTGGGACGGGAGGGATTTGAAGTATGGATCTTTTATCAGTGCTCTTGATCTTGATATGCTGGAAAAAGTTCAGAGTTGCTTTCATAAATAATCTTGTGCTCATGAATGCTATTCCTGTCTCCACACAACTGAAAAAGAAATGACCAGAAAGACTGGCATAAATATCGAAGTGTTTAAAAACAAAGAGTATATTTAAATTAAGTGCCGTATTTTGGAAAGGCAAGAGGCTGCTGTGGGGGGGGGCAGGGGAGTGCCCATGTGTAACCCCTGTGCACTGTCTGACTTGTACCCATGTGGAAGGCTTACATAAGGCACGGCTTCTCTACACATGCAGATCTGATACTCTGGATTTGACTAGTAGATTGTTTGCAACAATATCCTTGCCCCAAACCATGTTTCATAAAAAAAAGCAATGTTATACATTCACATTTGAAATCAATGAACAAAAAAATAACAATGTAGTCAGACAATGTAGTCAGTTATTTCTATAGAAAAGTTTACTTTCACTTTAAGACAAGATCTTAACTATGCTGCCACTCGTTCTCTTCTTATTTTCTGCATCTCTCCTGTAGAGCACACAACGGAGAACTCCTTAATATGAAAACAACAATTCTTGGGCCCTTTGGAGCCAAAAGAGTGTCAATGTAACAACTAATGTAGCCTGGAAAAAGCTGAAGAAGAGAGACTAAGACGACTGAAAGCCTGCCTTTGGATGCTGCATATGTACCAAGATTGTTTTGTTAAGCCAAATGTTTTGTTTTGTTTGGGTAACATAAACTTGTTTTGCTCACTCCATGATCTGTAACCACAAGATGGCAGGTTGGCCACAGGATCTTCTCTTGTGTTTCATATTCAATATGAAAGCTGATTGCAAATGTTGTGCTTTTTTCAAAACTGAATTAAAGTAACTACTGAACAGCGAAACCACCACAATATTCACTCTTCCTAGCTGTTTCCCCCTGTTCCGATGACATATTTCTACTTGCTAAGGGAAGTTCTGCTGTCATGCATCACTTAGCACACTATTCTGTAGGAATTTGCAACTCCGGTTGCTGTGTGCACACAAGCGTAGTGGCTTTCTCTCTGAAAACAAGAGGGGTTGGCAGGCAGAAATGTATTTCAATTCTAATATGTCAACTGGACAAAGTGACACAGTGAGGTTCAGGAAAAAACTGTTGATGTTCTTGGCTTATATGGAGGGCACCAAGACAATGGGATTACAACAGATACACTGTGTGTTTTCAATTATCCCCTCCCACACAACTAACTCTTTTGCTATGTGAAAGAAGGGTTATTGCTAGGCCAAAAATAAGCATAATTCTCCTCTTCCTTCACTGAAAGTCTTCAATCTGTGAAATAGTTTTAATTGTGTACTATTGCCTTGAATGTTTATAGTTAAGGTCATTGTATGGAGAGGATTCACTAGTAAGATCATGTTCTTACAGCAAACAGCAGAAGCCGAGAGGCGTACCTTACATAAAGAGTTAATCTGTAGGCTGTCAGAGCAAAAGCTTCATGAAGACAGTTTTCAACTATCTGAACACGGAGGTTTTACAACAGAAATACCATTTATCTCTCATTCTGCCCCAGAATGTTATAATGCAGGGGCCACTTTAATCCTTGCGTATGAAGCACGTGTATCACAAAGCGTAACAGATTCAGAGGGACAGCCCAGCTGTTCCTGCCGATGCTGGGGAAGGGGCCAGGGCCTGTTTTCCTTGACTCACTGAAGGTTGTTACAGTACCACTAGAAACTGGTGGAGCTGCAGTTTTTTTCTGGGAAACAGTGTACAGAAAACTGACTGTGTCTCCCACAAAACTATCCGTCCGAAGAATGAAAATTAAGAAATATATTTCATGTTGTTCCTAAACTGAGGTGGCCATGGCAGGTATTATTTATTTAATTTATATGCCGCCCACACTACCCAAAGGTCTCTGAGGTGTCTGAGCCTGCCAAATAACTGCCACAGCTTCCTCACTAAACAGATGATAACTTACCTGTTCCACTCCCCACCCCGAGACACAGATGGTACAAGATCTGCTACCGGCAAAATCTGATTCCTTAAAACGGGGAATGATGATAATCTTTCTCGTCTAGCTGTTTTGGGCTACAACTCTACTGATTCCTTGCCACTGGTCACAGTGTCTAGGGCTTCCAGAAGGTGAGGGCCAAAGGTTCCTTACGTGTGAGGAGGCCAAAGGGCCCTTGAGATTCCATCCGTTCTCCCTGTGACTGTTTAAAATAGCTCCTACAAAGCAGAAAATAAAGGCTTGAGCCCTACTGGTTTGGAAATTTGGCTGTCATCCCGCCTCCTGATTATCTCTTTCACATTGCTTTTTCCCTCGCCATCACAACCAAAATGAAGGAAATGTAATTTAAAATGTATTAATACTTGCTTTGGAAGATCATAGCATTTATGATCGAGGCAGAGTTTTTATGCTAGCCCTGTCATTACTGTGTATAACTCAACCTTTACAAATAATGTATTCCCTTTTCTTTCTCCTGTGAAAGTCCTTCCAGTGCAACGTACACATCAGTTAAAGTGAAAATAGTCGACACCTTCCTTCAGTTTCAACATGTTCAAATTGTCTTCAAATTGTCCGTCTGTTAGATCCTGAGGAATAAATAAATAGATCACTTTCAGTGAAGCCTGTTTGTTTTAATCAATGAGATCAAACAACTGAGATTTTAAAAAAATAGGCATTGTAATTAGCGTATTTGAAATCTATATTTGACCAGTTTTTCCATCAGAGCTGGCTGGATAGCTCCCGTGAGTTGGATGCCTAGCTGCAAAGCAAGGAATTTTGAGAGCTTGATTTCTTAACTGTGCCTCCCATGAGTAAAGTCAGCCTATGTGGCCTTGGGCAAGTTGCAGAATCCCAGGGCACTCCCAGAAGAGACTGGTAAACCACCAACCAAGAAAACCCTGGAAAGGGCCGCTGTACGTTAGAATCAATGGCACATAGAAATAATTATTAATCATCATATGACAGAGCTCTTTCCTTGCTGGTAGTGTTTACAGACCCTGCTTGACTGCAGTGAGTTCCCTCACATAATATTATAAAGCATTTCTTTTCAATAGGCAAAGAAACTAGGTTGAGAGGTGTTATTATTTATTTATTTATTTATTTTATTACTACTTTGATCAATTTTCCCTCTAATGGTTTCCTCATTTTTTTCCCTCTGCCTTGCGAATCTATAAAATCTCTGGGTTGGAACCGTATTACTTTCCAGGCATTGTCAGCTAAGTTCGACATGGGTGTGCAGAATTCTCTTCCTAAAATTCTGACCTTGCAGGAGTGGATAATTCTGATACAACTTCATTTCCATCAACTGTTCACTTTATCAGTAAAGTCTATTAATCTAAAAGCTTATGCAGAAAAAGAGTACTAATGTTTAATACATAGCGACTTCAGTGATTTCCTATCTCTCCTGACACATGTCAGTGACATGGTTCATTGGTACATGAACATAAGAGATTCTTACTTATTTGTGTTGTGACATACCCAGCCTTGGTTAGGTTTATCCTATATTCTCCACAGAGCCAGGCAGGGGGAGAGTATACATTCAACTTAAATGTTATGATTTATCTGATTAATTTTCAGCATCAGGATCTGTAGACTGCGAAATACATATCACCCCCATCTCAACCCTGGAATAAACTGACTCAGGAAATCATGAGCTGTGCAGAGAATAAAAGAACAGATTCTAAGTTCTCTGCGTTCTCCCATGCCTCTGACACTGATGGATTCAGTATGGATTGTCTGTTCAGTCATACAAAGAGTTAATTCATAAGTTCCCAAACTCTTAGAAGGAGATGATTAGTTGAAACCCTAAGAGGATTGTAAAAATAACTGTAAAATAATAATAATAATAAAGGTGGCAAAAGCTCGTGATAGGTACAGAAACTACTCGGGGAGTTTTAAAATAGAGTGATATGAGGAAAAAAAAGATGAAAGGAAAATTGCCCATCAGCGTTGTTCTTGCCCAATATAAGCCAGTTGGTACTAGTGATGATTGGACACGTGAGGCATGGATCTACAGTGGTGCCTCGCTTGACGAGGATAATCCGTTCCAGTGAAATCCTCGTCAAGCAAAATAAAAAAGCCCATTGAAATGCATTGAAAACCGGTTCAGTGTGTTCCAATGGGCTAAATACCTCAGTGTCCAGTGAAGATCCTCCATAGGACGGCCATTTTCGAGTGCCTGTAAAGCGAAAAATCCATCCTAAAGCACAGCAGGGAGTCATTTTACACAGCGGGCGGCCATTTTGAAACCCAACAATCAGCTGTTTTGATCGTCGTAATGCAAAGAATCGGTTCCCGAAGCAGGGAACCGATCATCGGGAAGTGAAAAAAGCCCTTTGAAAAATCATTTTGCAATTGTTAAGCGAGGCACCACTGTACTTGAAAAGAAAACAAACAAAAAAGAGGTTACCTACCTGTAACTGGTTCTTCGAGTAGTCCTCTGTGAATTCACACTAATGGGTTACTCTGCGGCTCAGCAGAGCAGTCTTCGGTAACTTCCACAGCTTTAAGCACTTAGTGCTGGGCCCTCCCCTACACCTGGCTATATAACTCCGCCTCCGGCCCAGTGCTTCAGTTCTTAAAGAACCGACTGCCGCTGCCCAATATGCCATGGCACACATGACGGACAGCGGGGAGGAGGGTGGGACGTGTGAATTCACAGAGGACTACTCAAAGAACCAGAGTTACAGGTAGGTAACCTCTTTTCTCCTTTGTGTCCTCTGTGAATACACACTAATGGTTGACTAGCAAGCTGACTAACCCGGAGGAGGGTCGTCACGAAAGTGTAGAAGCCAGGATAGCTCACCCTACTGCAGCCTGAACCTTAAGCTGGACAACCAGGTGGTAGGGTGAGATGAAGGGAGACCGAGTGGTGCACGTGTCAGCGCGGCAGACATGCACAACGTCCACGTGACAGAGAAAGGCGATTGAGGATGCTACTACTCTAGTAGAGTGAGTTCTCACTGATCTTGGAAGAAGCCAGGACAGCTTGCCCTACTGCAGCCTGAACCTTAAGCTGGGCAACCAGGCAGTAGGGTGAGATGAAGGGAGACGGAGTGGCGCACGTGCACGACATCCACGTGACAGAGAAAGGCCATTGAGGAGGCTACCACTCTAGTAGAGTGAGTTCTCACTGATCTTGGAAGAAGCCAGGACAGCTTGCCCTACTGCAGCCTGAACCTTAAGCTGGGCAACCAGGCAGTAGGGTGAGATGAAGGGAGACGGAGTGGCGCACGTGCACGACATCCACGTGACAGAGAAAGGCCATTGAGGAGGCTACCACTCTAGTAGAGTGAGTTCTCACTGATCTTGGAAGAAGAGTCCGTGCCAAACCAAAGGGAAGGCAGATGGCCTGGACCATCCAGCTAGACATGGTCTAAGAGAAAGCCGGTGCTCTGAAGGAGAGCCAGCAAAGGTGACAGAGAAGCGTTGTGAGGCCCAAAAAGTGGTTGTGTGATGCACAGAATATGGCAAAGCACGCTGCACGTCTAGAGCGTGCAGAGCTGTCTCCAGATGGTGAAGATGGTGTGGAGAAGAAACCAGGAAGGAAAGCTGGCTGGTTCAAATGGAAGACAGAAAAATACCATAGGCAAGGTAAGGGCTGGCTGCTACTGAAGCTAGTCCTCCAGCCCTGCAAGTTAAGGGTACTGCCAGGAGAAAGGCAGCCTTGAGGGTTGCCAAAGAACTAACTGGAGGGACCACTGAGGTGTCAGTGGCCCATAGGCAGGGCGCATCTTCTCCAGGCCACGGAGAAATAGCTTGCAGGTAGAACGGGCCGGAGCCAAGCAAAACAAGTGAAGGAGAAACTGAAGGAGAGCGTCCAGAGACGGTGGCCTAGTAGGCCAATGTCATCTGGATGCAAAGGGATAGAACACCTGCCCATATCAGGAGTAATTCAAGGTGGTAGAATGTATGCCAAGATGATGGTGCATGTCCATTACTGTAGGGGAAGACTCCCAGCCGACAGGTAAGGGAAACCGACACTTGGTTGAACCAACTACCCGTGTCCTGAGACCATGAGGGACCATGTTCAGTGTGATGTATCCTGCAGGTCCCAGGAGCAGTATCTAGCAACACAACCAAGCAAGACAGTTGAGCACCCATGGCAGGCCCGAATGACCGACCCTGAAGAGGGGAAGGGCGAAATCTATGTAGGGGCCCCCATGCCCCTAGGTTAGGGAGGCACCTCCTAAGGAGGTGTGGCCAACACCAGCTCAGGAGCCAAACATGGCACACTAAGAGCCTTGTGGCACAGTGGCTAAACAACTGCACTGCAGCCAAAACTGTGCTCACGACCTGGGGCCCGACCCCAGGAAGTGGCCCAAGGCCAACACAGCTGTCCACCCCTCCGAGGCTGGCAAAATGAGTACCCAGCTTGCTGGGGGGGGCAATGTGCAGCCCGCATAACCAACCTGTAAACCGCCCAGGAGTGCCCGAAGCACCAGGGGACGGCACACAAGCAGCACACTCTGCTTTGCTTTTGCTTTACTACTAGTTCGATCGAGATGCGAAAGCATCCCTGTATGGAGAACCCCATCAAAGACAAAGGCAAAGAAAGATGTAACAGTCAAGGGCCTGCTTGTATACAGCCACTGGATAAATGCGGCGAGCATAACACCATTCCGAAGAAGGCGTAACTAGAGAGTGCCGCCCTGCGTGTTCATACAGGAAACTGCAGTGGTTTAGACTGATGTGACCTGGACCATCTGACTCCAGACCAGGGCCTCAGAGGCCCAAAAGGCCTTAGTGAGTGCTAGGAGCTTCAGCACAATAATATGCAGACTGGTTATCATCATAGACCAGGGGGCAAAGGCAATGTGGTGGCGTAGGCAAGCCCCCTCACAGCCTAGCGGGCTGGTATCCACTACTGACCAAACTAAATGGGTCAGGAGATCAAAGGGTCTCCCTAACTGTAGTGTGGGGGAAGCATCCACCAATCCAGATGTGCAGCGACTTTCGGAGTCACCTGGAGAAACACGGAACGGTAGTCGCCAGGTACCTGAAAGAGAGAAAGAATTCAGGATTAAAGGGACTGCAGCATCAGTCGAGTGAGCTGTCCCACAGCTGCAGTAGATGCCATCAGTCCAAGGAATCG